GGGGGGGGGGGGGGGGGGGGGGGAGCAGTAAGGAGACCGCGTCAAGGGAACAGACAAGAATGATTTTAGCAAACATTGTTTCGATGTTCCAGAAATTCTTTAAATTTTTAAGTTAGGTGGAATGTATGGATAATATGGGACATGATTGAAAAGGTCAATGTTGTAGATTATTCTGACTGTAAATTGGAAATCCTAGCCCTTTTCTCCAAGCTCAGTAAACCGGAAAGTGATTTACTCAGCACAAGTCAGTAGCGTTTCAATTTTTTAGCATTTAGTCTTGGGTTACTTTTTAGAATGCTACGGAAGATGTTTGGTGACGCTATCCACTGAATAATTTTCATGTCGAGCTAGCAGTTTTAGAAGGAATCCGCCAGAAGTTAGAGTAACAAATGGACAAAATCTTTATACCGAGTTTATTTACACTGTATTACAAACTTATGTGCGACTGTTTAAATAAATGTATTCTGAAAATAAATCATTTCTATCAACACCAAATGTCGTAAACAAATTTTGAAATTCATGTGAAACACTTGAAAGTACTGATGAAATGAAACTCATGACAACATTCTATTCGTGTTTGCGCAAGTTCTCCGAGCTTTGAAAATTATTTTCTCGAGTTCCCATTGCATGGAAATTTTTTGGGGTATTCTTTCAGGCAACTACTTATATCGTTAACTTATAGAAAGTGCAAAAGGACGGCAATTTACTTACAATAATATTATTCTGTTAAAAGGTTTTTGTCCAGTTAACACTGAAATTGCTCGATTTCCATTCGGGTTTCAACTTGATATCTTGCAATTTGATAAATTGTGCAAGTTAGTAAAAGATGTTAGAAACATTTATATATAATGACAACAGGGGATTTACGAATATGGTTATATTAAGCATTGTGAGGCTATTACCAACGAATTTTCTTTTTTTTTTTCTTTCAGATCAAAAGAAAGGAAGCAAGCAACTGAGGCTCAAGCTTAAATTGGAATTAAATAGTTCGGTTGTCTTAGGCTAGCGAATGCTTAAGAAAATAAAAATCACTTGTTCATGGAAAAAACAACCAGTCATTTTAGCGGGAAAAACGTTTGCGCTTTTAAAAGGGTCCAAAGAGAAAAATACACAAAAAATACTGTCTTTTGGCGGGAAAATGTTGTCATAGAAAAAAAAAAAACTGCGCTCTTGAATGGTGTTCGGTTTTTAGTTAAAACTGTACTAAGAATTTGGCGGGAAAAAAGTTTTCACTCCCAGAAAAAAATCGCAAAAAAATTAAATCTTTTGGTGGGAAAATTTTTTCATAGAAAAAAAGACTGCGCTTTTGAATGGTGTCTGGTTTTGAGTCAAAAATATAGTCTTTTGGCGGGAAAAATCTTACACTGCGCAACGGATTTGTCCCATTAAAAGTCAAAGTATATGTTTGAATTCTGGCTAGAACTTGTTTAAAAGTGCAGAATTTTTTTTTTTGTTGGCAACCCTACATAGTCAAAATAGTAAATGAGATAGCCTATCATTTTGACTAGTTACCAGGCCCTTTTAAAAGCGAAATTTTTTTTTTCAGTTATTTGTAAGCTCAATAAAAGACAATAAACAAATGAAACAATAGTGTGTTGTAAAACATTTTTATTAAGTATCATCTACTTAGTTACAAGACTTTTCAATAAGAGTAAAGTTATTTACAACATTCGCGGTTATGCATTGTGTAAGATTTTTAATCACAAATTCTGGAAAACTCTACTTCTTAGCAAACCATCGAAGACAAAAACGGACTAAACAGTACAACAAAATCTGTCGACTTTAAGCTTATAGTGTTAAATTACACAATCTGACTAAGTCGACTAACTGCTTGGGTTTGAATATAAACAAATCAATAAATCGAGCGAAAACTTGAAACAGAAAAAAATTGTGAATAATCTGAGTTTTTTAGAGGTAAATACAAACGATTCAAGTTTTATTTGGTAAGCTATAAAAACATTTTCTCCAAACCTGTCTTCAAAACACGAGGAAATTATATTCTACCGCGCTATTTTGTTTCGGCAGAAATTCGCTACTCAAGATTAAATAAAGTTGCAAAAACTTCCTTGAATTTTAGGACTGCTGAAAGGGATTTTACTTGGCTCTAGACAATAAAGGTTGCATTGGACACTTGTTCGATTGCTCCCTTAACTTTTGAAAACTAGATTCTGACTGTTTAAATTACGTCGTTTCGCAGTGTTTTCTAAATCCATTTATACGCATAATGGCTACAGATGTCAACATGGATAAATAATGACCTCTTCTCGACGAGCGGCAAATGCTGATGAATGTGCCAAAACGATCCTTTTCATCGGTGAAATTACAGATATTACCTCTAAAATTAATCTCTTATTATTTTGTCTTGTAAGCCTGAATCCTCCAAGTGCTCTTGTATTTCTCTCTCCTTGATATAATTGTGATCCACATCTCTCAGCGCCATGACTAAAACTCTGAAAGAAGAACACAAAAATACGTGTCAGCACAAAGCGACGCACCCGCTAAGCAAAGGTGTTACATATAATTTTCTCTTAGTAACACATATTTCTCGCATACAGAATTCGTTTTAAGAAAGCATTCGTTTTATAGCAAGAAATGAAACGGATAATGTTTTTATATCTTCCTTACCGACAAATTCCTTCGCAGTTGTTAAGCAAATGAACCTTGCCTCGAGCTTTGTTTACATTCCGATCATGCCATTGTCAAAGGCAGAATTTGCCATTTTTGCGACAAGGTGGAGAGCAGCAGTTTAAAAGAAAGGTAGTTCTATCGATTGCTAACGATTGACCATTAACGTTTGGTTTTTTCTCTAATGCTGATCATTGAAAAGCAAAGAAAATTCATACATTTAATTGACCTTTTAAATGATTGAAAAGCAAGTTGACTCCGTTTAGTCTTACACCAATTTGTTTCAGCTCGATCGCTTTTTAGTGTGAACGTTTGGCTAGTCATCACAAATCATCTCATTGGAATAACACAAGCATACAAAGAAAAACCAAACGATGTAGCTCGAACCCGTACTTATACGTGCTCCTCTATTATGGCCATGTAGTGAAAAGATCTGAACTTCAAAAAGAGAGGTTTATAATTAGTTCGATGTTCTGCGAGATAGTAAACTAGCGATCTTTCTTTTGATTTCGCAATGGATGTTTTTGTTAAAAATACAGAAGATCTTTTTTCAGAGATTAAAATCTCGTTTTTGCTAAAGTACCGTGACGACAATCTAGGAGAGCCCTCAAAAGGGAGATATAAGTGGTGGTAAAAAATATCGATATTTTAAAATTTATTTTTGCTACTAGAGCAGCAGCCGCATATACACTGCAACAACCTGTTTTTAAGCTTTAACTAGCAGATCTTGAAGGCTTACCTTCACTAATTCTCTACAGGGTTTTTCGAGTCGTTATAGTGCTTGATAAAGATGGTCGTGCTTCATCTGAAAATGAGGAAAAAAACAAAAACAAAATGAGTTATTGCCATCCATTCTCACATGCAACCTTCACATTACATTACAAAGTAAGAAATTTGTTTATGAATTGTTTTCCTAAAATTGGCAATACACAAAGAAAGACCTTAATTACTAGCTTCTATCCTTTAATTCTTTTATTTTCGCCTTTAAAAAGGCGATAATCATCTTTTGTAGTACAAAAATATACCCTTATCGTAGTGCTTTCCACATGTACAACATTTAAACTTAGTTTTATGGTGAAATCATGTGTCTAATGCAGCTTACCTTCGCTGCAGGTGTCCTCTATGTCACATTCGTTGCACCTCGTCTGAAACTGAAAAAAATAAAACCAAAATGATTAAATAGAACCCATTAAATAATTAGTCCGGTCGTGACACGGACTGTGTATGGGAGTCGAAACAAACACGATGATGAATAGTTATCGAAAATAATTTATGTTTCACATAAACATATTTTAAAGTAAACAAACAAAAAAGATCCATCCTCTTCGTTGCTGCCAATTTCTGATATAAACCCTAAAAAATTGGCGCAGGGGGAGCACAGATATTTAGAAACAGAGGGTATTAGCGGTGGCTATGGCTACAACTTAGGAGGGGGAGCTTGCTTTGTCCACCTGGAAAATCATTTCAAGTTGGCAAATTTTAAACTTCTGTCACGAATGGACGAGGAGGGACGGGAGGCTTGACACACTCCTAAATCCTTCTTTGGGGAAGTTTTAACCTTCGTT